GAGTTAGAATTTTGTTCTACATCCTTCTCCAGCTCTGTCCAGAACCCTCTGTTGTGATCCTGGTCAGAGCAGTCAGTGGTGGTAGCCGGGCACTATCTAGCTGTACTGGACTCAGTCTGATGGAGGCCTTGGTAGCTGTAGTCTGTTAGTCCTTCGGACAGGATTTTTTTAATATAAAAGCTCATATCATCTTTGAATAGAGGTAATTTTACTTCTTCCTTTCCAGATTTATCTCCTTCTTTTTATTTTCTTGTCTGATTGCTCTGGCTAGGACTTCCAGTACAATATTACATAGAAGTGGCAAAAGCAGATCTTAGGGAGAAAGCTTTAAGTCTTTCACTATTTGTTAACACGTTAGCTGTGGTTTTCTCATAAATGGTCTTTAGTATGTTGAAGAAGTTTCCTTCTATTCCTACTCACTAACACTATTCTTTTTTGTTGTTGTTTTTTGTTTTTTGCTTTTGCTAGTTTATTTTCTTTTTTTATTTTTTTAATTTTAATTTTTATTGTTCTTTAGATGAAGTTTTACAGAGCACATTAGTTTCTCATTAAATAATTAATACACATATTGTTTCGTGACATTGGTTGCCAACCTCACAATGTGTCAACACTCTGCCCTTCTCCACCTTGGGTTCTCTGTTACCAGCTTTCCTGTACCCTCCTGCCTTCTCGTCCTTGCCCCTGGGCTAATGTGCCCATTTAGTCTCATTTTGTTTTATGGGCCTGTCTAATCTTTGGCTGAAGGGTGAACTGCAGGCGTGACTTCAGTACTGAGCTAAAGGAGTATCTGGGAGCCATACTCCCAGAGTTTCTGCAGTCTCTGTCAGATGAGTAAGTCTGGCCTTTTTTTTACGAGTTAGAATTTTGTTCTACATTTCTCTCCAGCTCTGTCTGGGACCTTCTATTGTGATTCCTCTCAGAGCAGTTTGCGGTGGTAGCCCAGCACCATCTAGTTGTGTTGGACTCAGTCTGGTGGAGGCTGTGGTACTTGTGGTCCATTAGTCCTTTGGACTAATCTTTTCCTGTGTCTTTGATTTTCTTCATTCTCCCTTGCTCCAGGGGAGTTGGAACCAGTGGAGTATCTTAGATGGCTGCTCACAAGCTTTTAAGACCCCCGATGCTACTCACCAAAGCAGGATGTAGAACATTTTCTTTGTAAACTATGTTATGCCAGTTGAGCTAGATGTCACCCGAGACCATGGTCCCCAGCCCTCAGCCCGGTAATTCGGTCCCTCATGGAGTTTGGATGTGCCTGTGAAGCTTCCATGACCTCACCTTGGTCAAGTTGTACTGACTTCCCCAGTATCGTGCGATGTCTTATCCTTCACCAAAGTTACCACTTCTCTATTGTTTAGTTAGTATTTTTCCCTCCCTACCCCTCCCCTCCCTCATAACCATCAAAGATTATTTCTTTCTGTGTGGAAACCTTTTCATGAGTTTTCATAATAGTGGTCTCATATAGTATTTGTCCTTTTGATTGACTTATTTCACTCAGCATAATGCCCTCCAGATTCATCCATGTTGTCCCTAACACTATTGTTATTTTTTGTTGCTATTGTTTATATCATGAAAGAGTGTTGGATTTTGTCAAATGGTTTTTCTTTGTCAATTTAGATAGTCACGTGTTTTTGTTTTTTGTTTTAGTTTTCCTTCATTCTAGTTGTGTTGTGTATCACATCGATTGATTTTCATATGTTGAGCCACCCTCCTATTCATGGGATTCAAAGTTAGTTATCATTCCCTTATTCCTTGAAGTTCTATTTGAAAGCCTGGCTTGTTCTTGGCTATCCCTGAATTTCAGTTTTTGTCCTCTCCTACCCTGTAACTCTGTCAAAAGCTCTGCTAAATTTCTCAGTAGCCATTTTCTTAATTATAAAATGCCTTGAGAGTAAAAGCAGTGCCAAAATCCAGTCATTTTCTAAAGGCTTATGGCTTTGTCTTCTGTCTCCAAGTTGCTTTAACATTGCAAATGTCTCCAGGGCGGATAAAATACTGGTGTCAGTTTACCTTTCTAGCTTTTTTTTTTTTTGCATCTTCTTTGTTTTCTTGACTTTATCTTTTTTGTTTTGTCTTAATTTCTTATAAGCTTACTTGTGAGTTTAAAAGTGTGTTATTTTTGCTTTCGGCTTTCGGCTCGGAGGAGGCCAAGGTGCAACTTTCTTCGGTCGTCCCGCATCTGGGTTCATCCGACACCAGCCGCCTCCGCCATGCCGCCCAAGTTCGACCGCAACGAGATCAAAGTCGTGTACCTGAGGTGCACCGGTGGGGAAGTCGGTGCCACCTTTGCTCTGGCCCCCAATAACGGCCCCCTGGGTCTGTCTCCAAAAAAAGTTGGTGATGACATTGCCAAGGCAACCGGTGGCTGGAAGGGTCTGAGGATTACAGTGAAGCTGACTATCCAGAACAGACAGGCCCAGATTGAAGTGGTGCCTTCTGCCTCTGCCCTGATCATCAAAGCCCTCAAGGAACCACCCAGAGACAGAAAGAAGAGGAAAAATATTAAGCACAGTGGAAATACCACTTTTGATGAGATTGTCGGCATTGCCCGTCAGATGCGACACCGATCTTTAGCTAAAGAACTCTCTGGAACTATTAAAGAGATCCTCGGGACTACTCAGTCTGTAGGCTGTAATGTTGTTGGCCGCCACCCTCATGACATCATAGACGACATCAACAGTGGTGCTGTGGAATGCCCAGCTAGCTAAGAACAAAAGAAAATATTTCAATAAAGGATCATTTGATAACAAAAAAAAAAAGTGTGTTATTTTTCTACCCAGCATTTCTAGGTGTTTTCTCTTGGAAGGTTTTTTTGTTTTTGTTTTTAATAATATCTAGTTTTCCAAGGAGCTCTGATGATGCAATGGTTAAGCATTTGGCTGCTAACCAAAAGGTTGGAGGTTCAAACCCACCAAAGACTCTGCAGGAGAAGAGACCTGGCAATCTTCTCCCATAAAGATTACAGCCTAAGAAACCCTGTGAGGCAGTTCTACTCTGTCCTAGAGAGTCGCCGTGCATCAGAATTGACTCAATGGCACACAACAACAACAACACCAGTCTTCCATAGTATGGGTTTTGTTTTTACACCTATTTAATTGTATTCGTTTAGAAAGAGTATATATTTCTATTGTAATGAATTCTTCTTGTATGCTGTTTGTCTCTGAAAGTTTTACTAAATCACACAAAAATTTCCTGTGATATTTTCTATTTAATAAACATTTTTAAAGCATTTCCTATATAAATAGGCCTTGTTGTAATTTCTGGGGGATTGTTATGAAAATTAGTAAGACCCCATCCCTGCCTTTAATGAGTTTACAGTCTGTTTTTTTTTTTCCTACAACAATAACCTTTTCTAATACTGAGATCCTCATAATCTATTATTTCTCGATGATAATGTTTTAATATTTTTTTGAATAATGATTTCTAAAAGACAATAGGGAACCAGAACACTAACTCTGGATTATGTGTGGTGTGATAGAATAAACACTCAACATTTCAGAAGCTTTCTGTGGAAGTAGTATCCTTAGGAAAAAGAATGGTTTCAATTAAAGCAAGAAGGTGGAAGGAACGCTTGAAAAAGAGGACAAGAATATGGGAGAGTTTGCTGATCAAAGGAGCCTGGGTGGCGCAAGCAGTTTACAATTGGCTCCTAACCTAAAGGTTGGCAGTTGAAACCCACACAGCAGCTCTATGGAAGAAACGGTGGTGAACTGCTTCCATAAAGAGTACAGCCAAGAAAACCCTATGGAGCAGTTCTACTTTATAACACGTGGGGTCACCATGAGTCAGAATCTACTCAATGGCAATGGGTTTGGTTTTGGTTTTTGCTTATTACAGAGCAAGGGTTCCAGAGGGGAAGTGGAAGTGTTTAGGATAATAGCAGTGGTGTCAATGGAGACAGAATCTCATGCAGTTGATGGTCCAGTACAACTGGCTGGTTGGGGGAGGGATGACCCTTGGTGCTGACTAATGTAATAATGAAGAGAAATATACTTAACTTTGTCTCAGCAGTTTCTCTGAGGAAAGTGCCCTAGACCTAGTGCTAATAAACTTAGATAACATAGCCTGGACTGCTGTTAGTCTCAGAGGTGGAAATCATTCTTAGTCCTTGTTCTCAGCAATAACGGCCTGATGTGGCAGCAGTTGCAGGGACTGCAGTTTTTCCAACTGTACCTAATGTCTGGTAAATGTCCTTGCTACTTTGGTCCTTCTTATTCTCTGCAATGTTCCTTATAACATCATGTTCTCCAACTTTTCATCAGATTTTACAGTGGAAATTGTCAAGGAGCCAAGGATTGTATCAACCACACACAGGAAATTGTCCTTTAAAAGGACAAATGTAAGGAAACCCTCAATGAGACCCAGGTAAGATACAGGATCTGGTTACACCTTCCTCTCCAAGCACAAGCTCCCCCTTTAATTTCAACATGTCTAATGATGAACTTATCTTTCTCTGAGTAGGTTTCCAGACCTTTTTTCATCTACCACACATATATTATATTTTTATGCAAATAACATGTGCATTATATGTTTTTGCCAACGGTGCCCTCCCCTCCGTGCACTATTTTTGTAAGTGTGCTATGCCAATTTTTTTTTAGCATGTTGCTGTAAAAAAATTAGCATAGTGCACTATGAAAATACCTCTGGGGCTGGGGCGGCGGGAGGGGGAGTGCGGGGGGTGGGGGGAACCTATTGGCGAAAAAGTGTATAACATGCTCATTTGTGTAAAACTATGGTATGCGTAGCCTCACTTTGTACTTTAAATCTTTATTTTCTAAAATTGGCATCATGCAATATATATTAGACAATAATTTTTTTAACAAACTATCATGGAAATCTTTTTGTGTCAATATGTCTATATCTACCTCTTTTCATAGTATTGATGAATCATGATTTATTTAACTATACCCTTTCAATGAACATTTACATTGTCTTTAATTTTTCATTGCTATAAATATTACCACAATAAGCATCCTAGTACAAGCATCCTTGTCTCTTTGTGTTTTTCTGGATTATTTATGTAGTCCTATAGTAGCCTCCTAACTGGTTCCTTACTTCCTGTCTCTTTCCCTTATCATCAATTGTAGAGTCAGCCTTTGGTAAGGTCCCACTACTAGGCGAATTCTGTGGACTTGTCTTCCAGGAGTGCTCATCCTCTCTTTTTCCTACTTGTTGTTGTGGTTGTTATGTGCCATTGAGTTGGTTCCTACTCATAGCAACTCTGCTTATAACATAATGAAACACTGCCTCGTCCTGCGCCATCCTCGCAATTGTTGCCATGCTTGAGACCATCGTTGCAGCCACTGTGTCAATCCATCTCATTGACGGTCTCCCTCTTTTTTGCTGACCCTCTTGGTAGATCTCTTCCAGTCAGTTGACCAGGTACCTGTCTTGCAAATTTCTTGACATAGTTGGGTGAGCACCTCCAGCACTGCATCCCTTTGGCAAAACATCTCTGTTGGAATTTGATAAATTCCTGGAGACTTGCTTTTTTGCCAATGCCTTCAGTGCAGCTTGGACTTCTTCCTTCACTACCATCAGTTCTTGATCATATGCTACCTCCTGAAATGATTGAATGTCGACCAATTGTTTTTGGTACAGTGATTCTGTGTATTCTTTCCACCTTCTTTTGATGCTTCCTGCATCCTTCAATATTTTGCCCACAGAATCCTTCAATATTGCAACTAGAGGCTTGAATTTTTTCTTCAGTTCTCTCAGCTTGAAAAATGCCTAGTGTGTTCTTTCCCTGGAGTTTTCTAACTTCTGGTCTTTGCACATTTCATTATAATTCTTTACTTGTCTTCTCTACCACCCTTTAAAATGGTCTGTTCAGCTCTCTTCATTTTTTTCTTCCATTCGCTTTGGCTGCTTTACATTCAAGAGCAGGTTTCAGAGTCTCTTCTGACATCCATTTTGGTCTTTTCTTTATTTCCTACTTTTTTTAATGACCTTTTGCTTTCTTCATGTATGATGTCCTTGATGTCATTCCACAACTCGTCTGGTCTTTGGTCATTAGTGTTCATGTGTCAAATCTATTCTTCAGATGGTCTCTAGATTCAGGTGGGATATACTCAAGGTTGTACTTCGGCTCTTGTCTCAGTTATTTAGTGTTGCTATAACAGAAATACCACAAGTGGATGGCTTCAACAAAGAGAAATTTATTCTCTCGCACTCTAGGAGACTATTGTTGTTTGTTGTTGTTAGATGCCGTCGAGTCGGTTCCAACTCATAGCGACCCTATATACAAAAGAACAAACCACCGCCCCATCCTGTACCATCTTCACAATCGTTGTTAGGCTCGAGCCATCGTTACAGCCTCTGTGTTAATCCGTCTCGTTGCGGGTCTTCCTCTTTTTCGTTGACCCTCTACTTTACCAAGCCTTCTAGGAGGCTAGAAGCCTGACTTCAGGGTGTCAGCTACAGCGGAAGGCTTTCTCTCTCTGTTAGCTATGGAGGAAGGCCCTTGTTATCAATCTTTGCCTGGACTGGGAGTTCTCAGCACAGGGACCCTGAATTCAAAGGACACCCTATTCTCCTAGCTCTTGTTTCTTGGTGGTATGAGGTCCCCAAGTCTCTCTGCTCGCTTCTTTCTTTTGTATCTCAAGAGATTGGCTTAAGACACAATCTAATTTTGTAGATTGAGTCCTGCCTCATTAACATAGCTGCCACTAATTCCATCTCATTAACATCATAGAGATAGGACTTACAACACATAGAAAAATCACATCACATGGCAAAGTGGTGGACAATCACACAATACTGGGAATCATGGCCTAACCAAATTGATACAGATATTTTTGGGGGACACAATTCAATCCATGACAGCTCTCATGGACTTGTTTTAATTTTCTTCAGTTTCAACTTGAACTTGCATGTGAGCAATTGATGATCTGTTCCACAGTCTGCCCCTGGCCTTATTCTGACTGATGAGACTGAGCTTCTCCATGGTCTGTTTCCACAGATGTAGTCAATTTGATTGCTGTGTATTCCATCCTTTGAGGTCCTGTCTCTAGCCATCATTCAACGTAATAAACAGTTACTGATCATACCCTGTGTCCCAGACACTCTGTGGATGCTAATGTACAAAAATAATAATAATCCCTGTCCTTAATCGAATACATGACTAAATACAATGCAAGGCAGATCTTAAAATGTTATGATAAAATATTAGCTAATTGTTATGGGAGAATAGTAGAAGGAAAAAGAAATTTTGAATGAAGATCAGGAAAAGTTAGAGCATCAGAAGAGGCCCTGAACTGAACTGCATGTAGGAATTCAATTGCAAAAAAATTGGAGCATTTTGTGGGTAGGTATAAATTTTCCAAGCTGAAGGAACTACACAAAGATATAAAATTATGTACGTGAAAGTAATATTAAAATATTTTTTAAAATAGTTCAGTGGTGTTAAGTATAGAATGCATGGGGTGAAGGGATATAAAGCATAAGGTTAAAAAGTTGGATTGAGACCAAATAACTGAAAGAAGTTCTTGAGTGAATTACTAGGGAATTTGTATTGAATCAGTGGCAGTGGGGATACACTGGGGTTTGTTGGAGCACAGAGTGGCAGGATTAAATTATATGGATTTGAAAAACATTACTCTGGTAGCAATAGAGATGATATTATAGGGAATCAGAGACCTAGAGACTGAAGGTAGAAATAATAGAAGGTTGTTGAAGTTATTCAGGCAAGTAATGCTAAAGGCCTGAAGTAAACAGTAGAAGTGGAAATGGAGGATACAGCTTTAAAAACACTAAAGAATCAGACTTCTGGAATGGTGACATTAGAATCTTGCAAATCTTCTCACCAGAAAAGCAATGATAAAACTGGCAAAAACAATTTCAGAATTCTGGAAATTAACCAAAGGTATATAAAAAACTTTAAAAGCATGTGTTTAAGAAAACTACCAAAAGTAAGAAAAGTGGTGTTTGTGGCATTTTAACTTGTGGCTGCTCCCATCATCACATATGCTTGATAGCCATGAGGACCAATAGCCTTACTGCCACCAGAAGGGGATGGCTTGATTTGGAGCTCCACAGAAAAGATTGTGACCAGGAACATTGTTGAAAACAATAGCAGTCTTGGTGGCAAATAATCGGGGAAGGGACGGTAGTGATACTACTTGGGGCAAGCAATAAAACAGCCAAAAATGTAAAAGATCTGGATAACAAAACAGTTACAGGGAGTTTTGATGAGGCTGTGCATATGCTTAAGAGAGATTGAAGAGGGACTCAGTTGTCTACTCATCCCTGACTAATCAGGAGGCACTGTGCAAACAGAAATGAAAGATAGGATAGACCTGTAAACTGAATGAACTTGGAATGTATGCCCTAACCCAAACACAGATTCCCTTGACAAAGGATGGAGGCCTTATCAGTTTAAGATCTTTAAAAAAACCTCTGCTTAATCACTGACTGACCATCAAGATATAATGACCTGGACTGACATCTAGGAAACTAGAATTTAATTAAATTAAAAAATTCAAAATAAAAGTGAGCAGATACTTCAGTGACCATACACTGCAGGAGAGACATGCTGTACAGAGCATTTCAGTTAACAGAAAGCAAAACAAACAAACCAATAGCAATAACCTTTGGTGGGCAGGAGGTGGGGCATGGGGATCAGCTTTAGAATTGCTTCAATATATTATCCAAAATGTTCAGTTTTAAACAAACAAACAAACAAAAACCATGAGACATGCAAAAAAAGCAGGTAATATGGCCCATACACAGGGGAAAAAAGTAGTCAATGGATACTATCTCTGAGGTGATCCAGATGTTGGACTTACCAGACAAAAATTTCAAAGCAATATGTTCAAAGAACTAAAGGAAAGCATGTTTAAAGAATTATAGGAAAGTATGATGACAAATAGAAAATATCAATATTGAGATAGAAATTGTAAAATAGAACCAGGTAAAAATTCTGTAGTTAAAAAGTACACTAACTGAAATTGAAATTCACTAGAGAGGCTCAACAGCAGATTTGAGCTGGCGTAAGAAAGTATCAGTTAACTTAATATTAGCTCAACAGAGGCTATTCAGCCTGAAGAACAGAAAAAAAAATTAAAAAAGAAGAAGAATGAAGAAAAAGAAACAGAACCTCAGAGACCTGAGGGACATCAAGCATACAACATGTAAGTAATGAGAGTCCCAGAAGTGGAGAAGAAAGAAAGAAAGGGGCAAAAATTATTTTCCATATAATGATGGAATATGTTCCAAATTTGTTGAAGAATACTAATCTATACACACAAGAAGCTTAATGAACTCTAAGCAGGATAAATTCAAAGAGATCCACACCTAGCCACATCATAGTTAAACGGTTGAAAGACAAAGACGAAGAGAAAATTTCAAATGCAGCAAGAGAAACA